TGAAGTCCAGGAACAGCAGGGTGTTCTTCTCCTCCATCACCAGCCAGCTGTGATCACGATGTATGCGATGGGTTAGCGTATTTCCACTTCCTCCTGGTGTTGCTGGCATCATGGAGGAGATCCTGGATCTTCTGGCTGTGGTTCTGCTTCGCTGATCTGATCTCATTGATCTGCTGAAAGCTCCAGGTTTCCACATGTGGACTCAGGGTTTCTCTCCCTGGTTCTGGTTCTGCTGTAGCGCAGTGTGTAGCGCGTCTTAGAACATGTGGTCTTCATTTGCTCCAGCCTCTCGTTGCAGACTGCGGAGGGACTGAAGGGCAGAGAAGATGAACAGAACCAACCGACTGCAGGTCATCTTTCCATCCTGGTCTGACCTCAGAGACACTCTGGCTTTTTTAAGCCGTCCCTGCAGGTCTGTGGCGTCGCTGTAATGTGTGTGAAGCTGAGACGCTCGGATCAAAGGAGTGAAACTGGAGCTGCTGACAGTCGCTCCTCCTTCAGCTCCACCTGCCATGGTCCCAGTTAGGGAGCTTCTTCAGGAAGCTGGGATCCATGAAGATGGAGCCGTGACTAAGGCTCCAGTCTAGTCCTGCTGTTTCACAAAAACGTTCCTTCTTCTAGACTGGCTCCATGAGTGGAACACAAAGCTGGAAGCTTGCAGGAGTTTCTGGAAGCCATCGTTGGCTCTTCCAGTCCAGCATCATCGTCTCTTTCCTGGGTCCTAAATCCTTTCACATCCAAGCCCATACCATGACCCAGCCTCCTCCATGTTGGTCCATCCCTGAAGAAGCTGAACATCAGTCTGCTCAGACCTGAAGGTTCTTCAAATTAATCAATTTTCTGTGAGGTTCTGGCAGTGATGGATCATCCCTGTTTGCTGTGGAAGGAGCAGCAGCCTGAGATGCTGGAACCCATGAGGGAAAGATCTCTAGAAGGTCGTCTGGTTCTGAAGTTCCAGCCTGCTGAGTTCATTTGGCCTACCTGTTCTTCCTCCTCCTCCTCCTCCTCTTCTTCTTCTTCCCGCTCTCTGTTTCCTTCAGCCTTGTTGCCGTGGTGACCGCCTTCTGGATCACTGTGCCCACACGGTCGACTGTCAGGCAGGAAAACAAGGGGCAGATCAATTTTCCAGAGATTCCAGCGAAGAGCTCGGCCTCTGCAGAGACAGGAAGCAGCATGCCTGGATTACTGACGGCGTTTGTGTAACTCACATACCACAGCACCCCCCCACCAAACACACACACACGCAGCTTTTATTTCAGCCTGTTTGCTCTGGAAAGAGAAGAATGAGGGGAGTGTGGAGAGAAAGCAACAGGTGGTTGGTTGACCAGAGACTGAGTCAAAGCAAACATCTTTTTCAGTGTTTTCTGCAGGAACTCACTGCTGCTGTGAGAGAGAAAACTCGCAGCATCAGGACGGTCCAATCAGAGGCCAGAGAATCACATGACCAGGACTAAATAGTCGGAACGTTAACGATGTTTATCCCCGAGCAAAGAACACTTTTGACTTTAAAGATTTAAAGGAGTTTGACTTTCAAACGGCTCCAAGGTTCTTTCCTTTAAACTGCAGTGATCTTAGTTTTTTTTCTTATTTCATGTCTTGCTTATTGTCCAGTTTTCTGTAAACTGGCTGCAGTTTAAGTTTCATCTCTGAGATTTTTCTCTTTTGCTCCCATTTTTGGATATTTTATCAATTCTCACATTAATTTGTCTGCTGTGCGCCCATTAGCCTCCTTTTGGCTAATGTTTTTTTCTTTCACACTAAGCTTTAAACATCTCCCTGCTGAACCTCTGATTATGGAAAGCTGTATTGGTCATTAATCAGGTGCTAGAATAACCTGGACGCTGTATTTACTAAATGCTGTTTCAAGTAATAAACCAGAGTTACACATTTAATGAAGGCTGCAAGCAGCTTAAGGCTGATTGATATTTCGAAACCTGGTCCTCTGCGTAGGTGTCGCAGTGAAAGATGTCCCCGCTCCCTCCACAGACACTCTGCTGCACCTCTCCCAATTGTAGGTGACCCCAGACCAGTGTTAATTTCGTCAACCATGACGATGATGAAAATATTTCATCAACGCCCCTTTTTCCCGTGACGATGACGAGAAGAAAACACTCAAGAATTGTTTCCAGAAAATACAAATATGACGAAAATAAACAATGATTTTCGTCAACGAGACTGAGACAGACTAAATGTGTGATCCATTGACGAATGGACATTAAGAACAGTAATTGTTTATAATGAATTTGTAATTGTTAATATAACTGTTTCTTGAGCTTCATAGAAGATTACGCGTTGTCGCCTTGTTTGTCCCTAAACGGCGCCTATCCCACAGCGCCTCGCACCGCCCAGTCAGTAGCAGAAGGCTAATACTCATAGCTCCAGTTCGCCGTCATGGTGGATACCGGTGTGTGGTTTGTTAAACAATGCCTGGATGTATAAAGCTACTTCGTTTACAACGCGAAGGAAAACACGGGAGGAAGGACGCACCAAAGAGTCTGCGGCTTCAACATGGCAGGAAAGAACACAGCGAATTTTAAGCGACTTCTGAACACGCTGCCGTATGAAAGAAGGTAAGGAATGGGTGGGCCTGTAGTAGTGGAAATGGGTGTGTGTGTGAATGTATATGTTTGTCCGTGAGCGCGAATGCATGTGGATATGTGGTCTTGTTTTACCTACAATGTGAGGGAAGTATTTTGAAAAATATCCTACATGGAGGACTTACAGGTACATATGGGGACATTCAACTGGTCCCTATATGGTAAAGTTCTGTTCTTTGAGTCGGGGTTAGGTTTAGGACTAAGGTGTGAATTCAGTTTAGGTTAGGATTAGTTAGTTAGAGTTAGGGTAAGGGTAAGGGTCTGGGTTAGGCCTTATAAAATGAATGCAGGTCAACGAAATGTCCCCATATGTCTTGAAAACAAAGCTGGATGTGTGTGTACCTTCCTGTGCCTGTATCTGTCTGTCTCTCTGTCATAGAAGAAAGATGTTCTACTGATACTCTGGATGGTAATCGTTTAAATTTCTTTCTCCAAACTAGATTCCTGACACAGTGACACCACAGCCAGATCAGAGGTTGGGGAAGGAAGGGAAGTCTGTTGCAGAGATGGTGGGAGCCCCCCCTCCACCGTACAAACCTGACTCCAAAGAGCAGAAAGCCCTGGAGAACTCAATGGCAAAGTGGATTGGGCGTTCTGGCCTGCCTGCAAGGACCATTGAGGATAAAGACTTTGTGGATATGATGAAACAAGCCGACAGAAGGTTCAATGTGTGCAGAGGGATATATGTTAAAAAGAGAATCAGTGTGTGAAGTTCTATTCTGCACAGTGTTAGATAAATAAAATAGAGAAAAATAGAAGCTGTGTGTGAAGAATTGTTATTCTGTACAGTGTGATATATATGTTAAATAAAGCAGTGTGTGGAGAAGTTCTATTATTTACAGCGTTGACTAAAATTGATTTTCGTCATTTAGATTAAGACTAAAACTAAATCGGGAAGGCAATGACTAAATATTACTAAGACTAAAATAGATTTTTGTCATTGTGACTAAGACAAAATTTTTAAAAAGCTGACGAAAGATTGCCGCAGAGAGTGCCGCAGACAGGAGGCTGGCTAGTTTTGTTTTTATCACCGAAATTGCGGAAAACAACTCGTGAAATTTGACCCGCTAGAAGAGCGAGGTGTGCGAGAACGCTGGGACCCTTTTTCCCCCCTGATCTCCGCTCTTTTTCGCCATCATGTCCCTCCGTTGTCGGTCAAACTTTCCCCCACTTCCTCACCGTCTCGGCCGTATCTAGACCCACAGGGTGTAGC